ATCAACCGTGAACAAAGATGGACTGAGAAATCTGTTTAAAATACCTGTTAAAATGAGTATGTAAGGAAGACACATTTTCATAAAGTCATTAACACATTTGGCGACTTTTGCAATAAACATTACCATAGGGACCAGAACTGGAAAAGGGTAACACAGTGGTCGCAGTGGAGAGGTATTCTTAAAAAAAAAAAGGAAAAAAAAGTCGTAGGTGGACACAATATCTTTACTTATTTATTTTTATGTAGTGCTGAGGACCAAATCCAGGTCTCACACGTGTGAGGCAAGCGCTCCATTACGGAGCTACAGCCCCAGCCCTAAGAGGTATTCTTTAAGATCTTAGAGACATCAATATTTTTAAAGTTAATGTTTTAAAGACAGTTGAATGAAGGGGGAATTTGAGAGGGGGCAGATGTTCTACAGAGTATGGAAGAATGGTGTAACAGTGGCCACTTCTTTTTATCCTCTACAAAGTGACTTCCCCTCCCTTTACCAGGCATTCTAAATTCTAAAGAAAAGTCTCACCTAAATGATTAAGATGTTAACCCCTAAATAATCTTCCTTTAGATTTGCAAAACTTGAACATCTGATGATCTTCAGGTCATATCAGAGAGTGTATGATGAGGCTTAACTTGCAGGAAAGTGTTTGTCTAAAACAATTTAAGAACTGGACTCAGGAAGCCAAGGTTCATTGTGATGTTCTGGCAAAAAAAAAAAAAAAAAGAAAGAAAGAAAACACACCCTGGCTGAGAAGACCACACTGAGCGCGTGCCTCCTCATCACTGTCTTCTGCATCTTCTCTTCCTCTCTGTAAAAGCCCTTTTGTGCTTGAGTTTCCAACATGGTCTTTTGGGGGAGATGATTGTCCCCCTGTCTTCTCAGTCCTTGAATAAACCTGATTTCTCCCCCATCAACTCTTCCCTCCCAAGTATCGGCTTTTGTGTGGCAAGCAGAAGGAGCTGGGTCCAATAACAGTAGTATCCGTGTGTTCTTATGTTCACGTATTACGCCTCCATTTTATCACGGGTCAGTATGTCAAGACTCAGAAAGAAGGTCATCCTAGAAAGCAGAAGGTTGTACACCCCTTTCCCAGCCACTTACTTTCACAAATTTGTTAAAGAAGTGTATCCCCAGAGAATAGGTCAGTCCAATCCTTTTTGTATCTAGAGGCTACAAAATGCTATTGGGCTTCTCCCTTTCCCCAAAGGCCAAAATTCCTTAAATTTGATTCTAGGCTTTCACATTATAGCCATTGCATTTTTTATTTTATCTGTCTACCTATTTATTTATTTATGGTGTCTTTTTTAAAAAATCTCATGGATCTTAAGAATATAATCTATGAAAATTCCATCTACCTTGTGTCTCATTCTTAGCAAAAAATAGTTGAATATAAGTTAACCTCTTTTTAAAAGATTTTCTAAGACAATGATACAGGAGTTGAGGTTGTGTTAATAACACTCAGTCAATTTCTTCAACGTTTCTTGCTACAATTCTTTACATTTGTCATATATGTGGCAGCTGGGCCCCAAATCTTTCTTTTTTCTTTCTCCACACTCCCCCAATTCCCTCCAGATCCGGCATTCTAACAGTGGGTCTCATCTTCCTGTCCTCCACCATATTTCAGGGGTATTTTCTTCCAGGTGGCTATAACCTCTGGCTTTCCCAGCCAAGCAGCTAGGACGCCCTCCTAACCCCAGACCCTGAATCTATATAAGATCCTGGAACTATATGGGCCACAAAAGGAATTCTGCTTTACAGAGGGGAGAAGTAGCCCAAGTTCCTACATGTTCACATCTTTATCTGCCCCAATGATTTCCTCTGTCAGGCGTTAACCTGTTGACGAGCAAGTAGTTGATTCAATTCTGGTGTGTCTCTGAGGAGAGAATCTTCCAGGGTTTGGGACAGGATGAAGTAAATCTCATAACGATTTATGTGCAGCACTTGAGAACCACAAAGAGGGAAGATTTTTGTTTTTTCGTTTTTGGTGTGTTGTGACTTATCCTCACTAATACCTTTAGAAAATGGGGAGGGCGATGGAGGGAGAAAGAATAAAACCACCACATGGTGGAGGGTCACTCTCCTTAGTAACTCCATGTGTCATCCTCAGAGTTGCTGAGTGGCCTGGTGAAGAGCACAGGCTTTGGACCTAGAGAGCCACCCTGAAGCTCAAATTCCAGCTCAGTTATTTTCCAGCTGAGCATAATCTGTAATTCACCAGTTATCGGGGCCAGAAAGAAAGCATTGTTGCCTGCAATTGGAGATAAGAGGTGCTTTGCAAGATTATTGCAGGGACTGATGAAATAATTTTTGTAAAATGCTAGGTCTAGTACCTGTCATCTTATACACATTTAATCATAATTACAATAATAATGTAAATGATGATAATAGCTTTAAAAAAAAAAACCTGAAGTTGGAGAGCTTCTGTAAACTTCCTCTATTTCTAATGTTCTAAAGTTAGTACTGTTTTATGCTGGTTTTACTTTAAAAATTATATCAAGAATAAAATCCTTGACAATTATCAGCGATACATAAATATCTAACGAATACAATGTATCATCTCTTGATGATGGATGGCAACAACCAAACAACCAAACCCTGAGTGATCTCTTACGGGTGACCTCCATCTTACCCATTTCTCCCCGGCTTCTCTCCTGGTCTCTTCCCCTTGACCACCAAGGAGAGCTAGAGGACCTTGGAGAGGAGGTTCAGAATAGTGCTGCCTTGATTATGGCAACATGCATATTGTGTCTTCAGCTAGCTCAGCACGCTCGAGATCATTTTAACAGCATAGTGTTATCATGTGGTTTCAGTCGAAAAAGTCCCCATGTAAAAATAGCACCTCCTTCCTCAGCATGTCTGCTCCCTTTAATGAAAATAAGGCTTCAGCTTAGACTGAGCCAAGGCAGTGATCAAGGCGCGAGCTAAGATCTCATCTGCTCTCAACACTGTGAGCCAAATTCACTCACGGAGGTACTTACTGTGGCCACTGGCAAGAAGAGGGACAGTGCGGAAAGAGGACTGAGCCATGCAGGAGAGCTCCTAGAGAGAGCCCTAGAGAATATAGTTCATGAGAAGTCACAATTGTTCTACCAGAAACGCGGTGGCAGGACAAATAAATCAGCAAGGACCTTCAGGCAATCAGTAACATTAACGAATTCTTTTTTTTTTTTTATTGGTTGTTCACAACATTACAAAGCTCTTGACATATCATATTTCATACATTAGATTGAAGTGGGTTATGAACTCCCAATTTTATCCCAAATGCAGATTGCAGAATCACGTCGGTTACACATCCACAATTTTACAAAATGCCCAATTAGTAATTGTTTTATTCTGCTACCTTTCCTATCCCCTACTATCCCCCCTCCCCTCCCCTCCCATCTTCTCTCTCTACCCCATCTACTGTAATTCATTACTCTCCTTGTTTATTTTCCCATTCCCCTCACAACCTCTTATATGTAATTTTGTATAGCAATGAGGGTCTCCCTTCATTTCCATGCAATTTCCCTTTAACGAATTCTTATCCCCATCAAAAAGAGATGAACTAATACGCTTCTGGCCATGTGGCTACCTGGTAGGTGGCTCCTTCTTGGAGAAGGAATTATTCATTCACCCTTCCCACCCTGCATCCCAACATGGCGTGTCCGCCGTAGGAATGGGAAACTCACTGATATGAAAATAAAACAGTAAAGGTAGTTCTACTGCAAGTTTTGAAGGAAAGACACAGCTACGCTTTTGAAAGTTATCCTAGAAAGCAGAGTCTCAGAACCTATTTTCTGGCCTTCAGGGCCCTCTGAGATTATGCGCATCAATTCTGGTGGCTTGATTCACTATGCTTCCCAGAGTCCCTGCGGAACAGTGGTGTCAGGGTGGGAGGTCAGGCTACAGCCACACGGTCCTGCAGCTGGCCAGTCGACAGAGCCCAGTCAGGGAAGGTGGCTCGGGGAACGACTGGGGATATGCCCCAATGGTGATCACCATATTCCACTTTTTGTAGAATGAAATTCCACTCACAGAACAGAACAAAGGTTACTCGAGCTCCGTGTGGGTCCTGGCAGTCACTCAACTCCTTTATCAGGAAGAGAAAAGGAGAACTGCAGCTTTAGGTTGTTATCCATTTCACCCAGAAACCAGACTTGTCTTAAGGAAGGATGTTTCCTCTTTGCAAATCTAAGATACCTTCAGCAGAAAGTCTTTGAAAGTCATTTGAGGCTGTCAGACGCCTCTTATTTATCACATCAAACAGAGGTGTCCACAGCCTCCTCTTTAGCGAGCCTGCAACCTTCCCGGGGATCAGTGGCTGTCTGCCGTGTTATCCCAGAAGAGTCCGTATCAAAATCTGATCTGCTCCTTATCTACCATCTGAAAGCAATCCTAGAAGATGTCCCCTCTGTCAATTAGGAGACCACAGAGAGTCTCCTCCAGGAGGCTTTCAACAAGGGCCTCTACCCAGGGCCTTTCATCTGGAGGGGAGAAGCAAACAACCGGAAGCTTCAAGGACGGCACACAGTTGCCAGCTCCCAGCTCCCAGCTCTGTAGTCTTTGTTTCCAGCCAGAACTGTTTTCAGGGGAACTGCAGATACAACGTTTGGGTGGAAATATGCGGTGGGCCCCTTGAAAAACTGGAGCCAGACTTTGAGAGGAAGCGTAGGAACTGGGGTTTTAGACTGAGAAACCTTCTTTGGTGGGGGGAGTACAAGGGATTGAACCCAGGGCACTCTATCACCGAGCCACACCCCCAGCCCTATTTTGTATTTTATTTAGAGACAGGGTCTCCCTGAGTTGCTTAGCACCTGACGGTTGCTGAGGCTGGCTCTGAACTCCTTCTGCCTCAGCCTCCGAGCTGCTGGGATTACAGGTGTGCGCCACTGCGCCCAGCTAGACTGAGAAGCCGTCTGCCTGGAAGTCTCTCATGATGATGGTGTTGAAGTGAAAGAGTTTGCAGAAGTACTATACAAAGAAAAGGGATATGAGGACAGAAACTCACATTTAACCTCAGAAGGAGTAAGAGAGCTCCAAAAAGAGAATAGAGAAGCGGTCAGTGGACCGGGGAAAAATGAGTGTCTACTTGTAATAGTAAGAAGGGAGTTTCCAAAAAGAAGCTTAATTGTATGAACAGCCACAAAATGGTCAAGGTAAAGATGGGAGAAGATGTGATGGATAACGGGGAAGTGGTCAGTTCATCCAGTTCCTAGGATAGTAGCTGAGAAGAACCAGCTTAGGGGAACGAAGAAGCTTATGAGAATGAAGAAGCGGATCTGGGGTGAGCGACTGGAGCTGGTGCCTAGAGCAAGTGGCTCAGAGACCTGGTGGGTGAAAGCAAGGGCCTGAGCTCCGCCTGTCACCTGGGCGCAGAGCCAGGGGTTTCCGTTTGGTGCACATGGGCCAGGACGGGTGCTTTGTGACCGCGTTAGATTGCAAGGTGTGCGCTGAGTCCCTCGGGTCGTCCCTGCACCGGAGAGCCTTTGCACTGGAGGCGTGGAGTCTGTCTCTCTCTTGAACTTGGCTTTCGTCATAGGACTTGCTTTGGCTGCTGGGACCTTAGCAAACATGACACAAAGAGGCCTTGAAAGTGCTTGCAGAGTGGGTTCACCTTCTCGGGAGCACTGTGAGAACCGTGTGGGCTTGTCTGCTAGAGACTGAGAGGACAGGGGGAGAGGCCCAGCTGAGGCTCCAGACAGGAGTGAGTCAAGCCCAGGTGGAACCTGCCCAGACCCGGAAAACTGCCCATGGAGCCGCAGTGAGGTGAGAGATGAGGTGTGCTTGTTATTGTAAGCCATGACATTTTGGCGTGGCTGGTTACACAGCAAAAGCTACTACTGATACAATGAGATTCTTTCCTTTGGTGACTATTCTCTGGAAAAACTTAGACAAGAATGTTGGGTGACATCATCTTAGGAAAAAAAAAAAATGGACTGCAAACTTGCAGAGACCAAAGATGTCCTCTGTGTCCCCTGGTCGGACTGTGGACATCATAAGCACCCAGACTGCAGGTGTGACCAGGTAAAGGCCAATGTAAATGATGCCTCAGCACCAAGGAGATGCCCTGTCAAAAAGACTGTGTGACTTATTTATGGCACAAGCACAGAAGCACTTCTAAGTGGTTGCATTATAACTTGCTGATAGAGAATTCTCTATGAGGAGGGTGGCAGTGTCTTAAAGTTTAGGGATTGGATTTCTAGGGCAGCTGTCATTTCATAGAAAGGTTTCAGATGATCTATTGGCATTATTATTGGTAAAAGCAGAAAGTCTAGAAACCAGCGGGACCTGGGGTCAAGAGCTGCCCTGATGGTGGTGGGGACAGGACATTGCCCAGCCCTGGTTCTGGGAAGACAGAAGTGGGCACACACACACAGGGCGGTGTGTTTCCCAGCCTTGGAGGACATCTTGTGCCACTGCCTAGCCGTAGAGCTGATTCATAGCAGGATTCAGAGCCATCAGCAACGTGTTAAATGACGTTCAATAGATTCTGTTTAATGAGGCTGAGAAGAATGGAATTCATTTTATGACAATTTCCATGAAAATGGCTAAACTTTTTAAAAGTTTGGCGTTTAAATTGTCTAAGCTTCAGTTCCCTGGAAAACTCACTTCTGTGACTCCTCATTTTCCAACAATACAGATTGGTGAGGGATTAATTCAGATATATTCATTTGGCTTTAGAATGGATCCTAAGACCATAACATGACAATTATTTCCAGAGACAGAAGAGATGCACTGTCCAGCAAATGGAGAGTAACTGGGACTTTTTTTCACACTGGGAAATACATGTTGGTGTGACTTCTTAGCAGTGGTTGGTCTTGTTGTTTTGAATCATCTGTTAGCATAGTGTGATCTCCACCGATTCCAGTTCCCTCTCCTCTTGGCCAGATGCTGTCATTAACTCCTTTGCCTCTTTTCTCAGCAGGCGCTGGATTAGCCTGTTGTCCTTCTTATTCAGCAACATCTGCTTCAGATCAGTCTCTATCAAGAGTTCCTCCTTAGTGAGCCTCCACCTTGAACTCCTGGGCCTCCTGCACCCTCATGCTATTTCCTGGACACGGCATCATTATCATCATTGCAGCTTGTGTGTTTAACTTATTCAGGGCCAACACAGTTTCTGCGTAGGACACTACTAGTGGTTCTTCAACTTGTCTATTACCTCATCTAAAAGGTTTGGAGCAACCCAGGCTGCATGCAGCCATCACCCTGCTTTCTAATCCAAGGATTATTGAACCAAGAGATAGACTTATGGAGTGAAGCGTTCTTGGTGCTGGGGATGCAGCTCAGTGGTAGAGCACTTGCCCAGCATGTGCAAGGCCCTGAGTTTGACCCCCGGCACCGGAAAAAAAAATACACTTGCTGTGTTCATTAGGTCCCTAAACTTCTTTATTGGTCATCTAACATGTAACATTCCCCAAATTCCACCAGCTCTTTGCTGTCTGATTTTTGCATTGGATAAAAAGTATTTCTAGATGCAATGTAGGTTATTTAAAAAAAAAATAGACTTTGGTGTAAGACTACAGTCTTGGTCCTGTATCTGTCTGTTGGTAACTATGTAACTATGTGATCTTTGACAATTTGCTTAATCTCTCTGAGCCTTGCAGTATTTATCTCTGTAAGGAAGTCATTACAAGGATTACTTTAGGGTTAATGTCATTGCAAAGGTTAACTCATTGCAAAGGTTAGTTCGTGTACACAAAGCACAGGGTATGGTTCCTGACAAATAGAAGATACTCAATAAATATTGACTCTTTTCATTTTCTCCTTCCTTCATAATTAATCTGTCTAATTTGGACTATTGTCCTTGATATTGCTTGCTCTTAACCTAGGCCATGCATAACAAGACTTTCCAATTGCTTGGGAGGAATTTCAGCTTCTCACTATTTGTCTGAAAGTGGGGGGTGGGTTGGGGCACGTCATGCCCTGCTCCTTAATTGTTATGAGCTTGGTGCTGGAGACCCCCCTCTCACCAGACTTCCCTTCTGTGTCCCACGCTTCCTATCCACCGCGTGTTCTCCCCTAAACATCTGGGAACCAGGAAGGCAGAAGCACTTGTAAGAAGCCGCTTTTCCTTACTCCCAGCATTTGGAAGTCTGGGCTTCCAAACCCAGAGTTCCTGACCCCCTGGCTGGAGCCTGAAGGTTACTGGTCATCCCCTCCTTCACGGTTTCTCTAGTGCTGTGTCTGAGTGTTTGTGTCCCCCTAAAATCCACATGTCAAAACCCTCAAGGGAAGGTGGTTAGATGATAAGGGACCCTTCACAACGGGGATTAGTGCCTTACTAACCAGGCCTGAGGGTGCTCTTTCTGTCACTCCTTCCACCATGGGAGATGACACCAGCTGGGAGGTGCCGTCTATGGACGAGGTACGGGGTCTCTCCAGACGCGGACTCTGCTAGTGCCTGACGTCAGACTTTCCAGCCTCCAGAGCTGGAAACCCATGTCTGTGGTGTAGAGCTGACAGTCTGTGCTGTTTTGTCCTAGCAGCCCAGACTGAGACGCTAAGGGATGGCAGGGTGCGTGTGTAACTCCTGCCGTGACTCTGAGCTTGCTCTCCAGGGCTGCCTGCGGCCAGGACAGTCACCCTCTGCTTCTCAGGGTCTAGAGCCAAACAGTGAGAAGCCAACTACCCAGTCCACTCAGCTGCCTGGGTCTGTGCCCTGTGAATCCAGTGTCCTTCCATGGGCCATGGTGCAGACTTGAGGCAAAGGGTAGAAGGCCTGATGTCAGCCGGAGTCCTATTCTCTGGTCCAGTTTTTCTAGTGAGAAAGCTAATATTTGGACCCTAAGGGACACTTGTGATGATTTCCCATGGGGGTGTCAGCGAGCTGGACAGCAGTTTTCTAGTGTGAATAGGACTTAGTATGTCTTCATCCCTCACTGGTGCGTGTGTGGGCATATCAGCCGAGGAGAGCTTCAGACCGTGATGTGCCCACAGCCTAACAGTCCTCGTTTATAGACACGGAAGAGAAGCTTGGCTAGATGGTGTCACCCAAGCTCACGTAGAGTCAATGGCAGAACCAGGGCTTGGGACAGATCTAGTGTTCCCACTTCTGGTCCAACGTCTGTCCAGAGTGCCATCCTGCCTTGTCCTGGCAAACCAGATCTCTGCTGCTGGAAACAATTCTTGGGGTCTTCACATCAGGTTCTGACTCTTTCCCAGGTTTCCATTCTCACTGATCTAAGTCCAGTTATCACTAGCTTCACATCAGCTTATCCCACCTGGGTATCCCACCTTGGCTCCTTCAAACTCTTAACCCATGGATGGATAGTTCCCAAAACATCTCTGGGCCCCAGAAGAACTAGAGGACCGCAGCACAATTCCCGAATCAGCACCACCTAGAGAGAAGGAAGGCTGTGTAGGTTTTGTGTAGGGTGTGGAGGGCGAGTTCTAATATTCCAGGAACTTTGTAGCATCAATAACTTTTCTAGGGCTAAACTCTGTTCTTTATCAATTACCCAGCCTCAGTTATTCTGTTAGAGCAGCACAAAACAGACTGAGAAAGGTGGTGTCAACAGCTGATGGGATCTTGGCTGTCTGAAGGGGGGGAGGGAAGACCCATGGATGGAAAGCAGAATAGACTGAGCTTTGGAAGGTCCAAGAGATGAGCCTTTCAGAGTGTGCATGTGGTCACGTGTGTGTCTGGTACTGGGTCAGAAGGTGGTGATCTGTACCTCCCTTTATGCCTGGGCCCCTTCAAACTTTAACTGGCAGTAGCCATCTTCCAAAGAGAAATGGCTCTGTAGCCACAGTGCAGTGAGACCAGGGTACAGCCTCCAGTCCACCTGAATGACTAAAATTTAAGTGTCCTTATTAGATAGTCATTTCCTTACAGAGACAGTATTTTTTAAAAAAGATAATTATTTTTAATCTTTGCCCATTATCTTTTCTAGCAGCTCAGACAATAAACCAGACAAATCAAATGTCGCTTTTTTTTTTTTTTGGTGCTAGAATTGAACCCAGGGCTTCCCTCATGCTAGGCAAGCACTGAGGTATATCAGCAGCCCGTTTTATTTTTTTATTTGAGACAAGTTCTCGCTAAATTGCCCAGGTTGTGATCCTCCTGCCTCAGCCTCCTGGGTAGCTGGGATTACAGGTGTGCACCACCAAATGCTCCTTTCATAAAGGAGTTATAACGTGAGAAGGGCCTTTATCAGGTATTAAGGGGAAGGGGGAAGTCCTTTTGTCCTGGAAGGCTATGAAAGTCAAGCCATTTGTCACGTATGTTCTGGTTTGCCTTTCAGGGGCAAAATACCAGAGGAAGGAGCAACGAGAAGGGTTTGATTGAAATCCAAGAGCAGAGAGAGTCTGTGCTCTGCTCTTCTGATGAGGAAATCTGTCGCTTGTGTGGCTCAGCAGCAGGTGGGCTGCAGCTGCACTGCAGAGCACAGCAGAACACCAGGAGCCTGCCGTGTGTGCGCGGTGGCCCCACCAGAACGCCTCGGCGGCGGCCCGCGGAGCTGGAGAAGGACTCCGAACTCGCCCTGGCATCCTCACCAGCTCTGGGCTGCAGAAATAGGTGATGGGGTGACTCGAGGCTCTCGAAGGTGTCACTGTGGTGGAGTGGTGACTTTCCAGCCAGGGGCTGAGGGGCACCCACCCAGGCCCAGAGCAGACAGGCCCGGTCACGCTGAGAAAGCCAGTGATGCAG